TTTAAAACAAAACTTGAAATCAAACAAAAGATTTAGCTCCAGCTAAACTGGATTTGGTTCAATAAAACTCAATTGTGCGTCGGAGCTGCCTCCTCCTGTCTCTGAGCAGCAGCAAGGTCACGCGTGTAGTCAAAACAAAAACAAAAGTCACCACTTGAATGTGAATTGGGTAGTTTAACTTAATAATACTTTTACAGCCTAATTCCCTCTTTCTTTTTTAGACGAAGTCTATAATCAATAATCACTTTTAACACAGATTCTAATTTAAATGTTTGAAAAACGGCTTTTGTAACTAAAATAAAAAATACATGAAAAAATTCTCACTAACAGCTATGAAATATATCAAAGATGCAATAATGGACTCACAAAATAAGCAGCAGATTTAAAAAGAATGGAATCTAGAAATATGTTAGGTCTAAAAAGAATTGCACAGCTTTTAGCACTAATATTTGGGTTTCAAAAACATATAATATTCAAAACTTATTCCCTAATGGTGTTTAAAAACGTTTAACTGTGTCATAACACAATGTTCAATGGCAAATTTCGCAAATTTAACGGAATAACTACTATGAAAAGCCAAATTCCTAAAAGCAGTAGCTTTGATTCAGAGCCAGAGCAGCGAAGGTGGGGGCCGTTTCCCTGACAACGGCAGCAGATAGAGATGTGCACACACACAGGCAAAAAGATACAGAAGAATAACTTTCAAGATTACTTTGTTAAGCGAATATAACTGATGTTGTTCTTTATACTTTTGTCATCCAAATCTAGAAGTGATCACTTTCCACACTAGTAACAAAAGGCACTCTTGTCTTTAACGTTTACGCTTCTATTTTATCGAGGTAGCAAACTAATTTAAACTTAAAATCTCTTTCTAAAAAACAAAAACAACTGTTGGATACAACCCTCTCATAGCTCAACTGTAGATAAAACTCGACAAAAAATGTAAATAACTCACGAAAGCTCTCATAGCTCAACTTTAGATAAAACTCTGCATTCTCCGGTGAACTCTGTACACGCCAAAAACAAAAACTCCCTTTTTCTGTATGTAATTTAAACCGTGATCACTGAAATATTGTTGCTTCTTTACTTTTGTCATTTATCAGCCTGAAATTCGTCAATTTCAAAGCTTTTGTAACAAAGGCCTCCTTAACAAGTTTCCCTTTTTATAATTACTTTTAATTTTACACTTTTGGATCCAACACTTTTCTCTGGCTAGCAAGGGGCCTCTACCCCGGTAATTACTCAAAAAAAAAGGGCCTCTACCCTGTAATTACTCTTTTTCTCTTCTCAAGGGGCCTCTACCCCGGTAATTACTCAAAAAAGGGCCTCTACCCTGTAATTACTCTTTTTCTCAAGGGGCCTCTACCCCGGTAATTACTCTAAAAAGGGCCTCTACCCTGTAATTACTCTTTCTCTGCCCTGACTACTTCAAAGGACAGGGACCCCGATACGTCAAGGGGTTCTTTTTTCCTATAGGGACTGGTTACCCACACAGCTAACCTGTTTTCTACAACATAAGACATGACAAAGACGTGACAAAGACAAAACAAAGAAAATTTGATTTAGAGAGATTTGGACAGACCTCCGGGACAGCTCAAAATTTAGCTAGTATCCAACTATGCAGACTTTTCATATTAAAAAAGGTGTCTGCTTACCTTATTTTCTTTGTCCGGACTGTTCGAGAGGTCGACCAACATCTTTTCCGCGTCAAAAAATTCAATTTAAACACAAAACAGAGAAAGTGAGGGAGCAAGAGCAAGCCCATCCAAAAGCGAGCCCTTTCAGCGTCCACTGGGATTTCTCCCCTTCCAGATAACGTGCTGTTGCTCCCACACGCCGAAAAAAAGAAACAGAGGAAATTCCCTCAAAACAATCCAGAGAATGGCACAAACCGAGCCGCGCATTCTCCACCAAATCTGTTAGGATTTAAGCAGACAGAGACGGATCGTGGTGTGCCAAACTCTGGAAGTTTATTTAAGTTTCTCTCAAGTTCCACTGGTTTACTCTGTTTCTTTCTCTCAGACAGAATAAAGGCAGTACACAGTTTATATAGTCATTGTCACGTCACACATCGAAAGACATACGTGTCACAAAGAGACAGTCACATCATAGTCATAACATGGAGTCCTTGTAGAGTCCTTGTACAGTCCTGCACGTAGGCCATATTGCTATCTAATACTAATACTTAAACCAGCAAATTTGGCGCAAACTCTTGACGTCACCGACACCTTCCTACAACACCCACCTCCCCCGCTCGCTGAATGGTCGGATGGGATTCTACCGAGGTAACCGCAGCCCCTGGATCAGATTATGACGTACATGTAGGGAATTAATAATTTACGGATGGCTAAGGCTTTGCTAGCGTCAGCAAACAACAACAACAAAAAGTCCAAACAAGGCAAGGCACGTTTATTTCTTTAGCACAATTCCTACACAGGACAACTCATGGTACTTCCCAAAACAGGAGAGCAATCAAATCCTACTGGTAAAGTCATCAAAAATCACACAATAAATTACACATTCAGAATTTTTCAACCTACAGCTTCAGGATTCAGGAAATGAAGACAAGATGATGAGTGATTCTAATCATGCATACTTTCATTATAAAGGCTTGCAGTGGTCCTGAGTTTATCGAGAGGGTTATGTTCTAAAAATAACCCGCAATAATAATAATAATAATTCATCGGTTTTATACTGTAAAGGGCTATTTTGGAAACGCTTCACATGTCATTATTCTTTCACTCCATAAACGGTGATGATAAATAATAACTATTGTAGCCACAGCTGCCCTGGGGCACACTGACAGAATCAAGGCCACCAGTCTGTGCCATCGGCCCCTCCGACCAACACCACCCACCAATCACACACATCATACACTTTATACACTTTTCTAACCACCTGAACTCACAACAGCTGAAGTGCGATCGCAGAGATATCAACCCTGTTCGTTGCTGGTCTGAGCGCTGCTGCAGCTGTCAAAAGCCGTGCATATACTGTCAAAAACAGTATGGCAGAATGAGGGGCAGGAGCAGGACTACAGGAAGACAGCGGTGGTCCTCTGAAATAGTCCCTGCGGTGCACACAAGCAGCCAAACTTTTCTTCTAACATTATATAAAAGTATCCGTCATGTTATACTAGCGGTTATAGGATGTTGGAGAATACACTCATAAAAAAACAGCAAGATCGCAAGAGGTGAACCGCGCTATAGCGAAGGACCACCGTATTTTAAGAGCTCAACTGAATGTGGAAAGAGCAGCCCTCCTCGACCAGACTTTACAAAAAGAGTATTTTTAGTGAATGATGTCAATAACCACAATGGAAAAGGCTGAGGTCTTTGACTCCGTCTACGTCTGTCCTGTTAAACACATCTATTCACTTCTAGGGCCCAGAACCACTGTGTTTTCCTCAAATCTCTGCACTGAACCAAAGACTCATTATGAAATACGCAACTCCAGAACATTCCGATATGTTTCTGTGGATATTACGCTTTGTTCTGTCCCAACATGTGACCACTTCTGCGTCATGGTGTCAAATCTTTGGTCTCGCTAGAGTTGCTAATTTGATTGAACTGATGATATTGTTTGGATTGGTTTGTCAAAAGAAATGAAAATCAGATATTCATTTGAGAAAGGATAGATATTATTAAAGGTATACAGGAGGATTTTCTACTTCTGGGTGGATCATCAAGACTATTGGTCCCCCCAATTGTCAATCATTCTGGTGATTCGTGCTCGTCAAATAAGACCAGATAGTTTCGTTCCATGAGTGGAGAGAGCGGTTCTTTTTCTAAAATTTGGGAAAATCTTCTATACCTTTTAAATGACTGAAATAGTATGGATCGTTACATTTAATAAACACATTTTAAACTAAATCATAAGAACTCTGAGGCACTATTCAAAAAGTATTCATATTTTGAATGCTTGAATTTACACGATAACTCAAAGTGCTTAACAAAACAAGATAAATACAATCACATTCAAAAATCTGTTAAATATTAAACAATGATTTATATTTGGTCCAGTTTTGGTTCAATCTAAACATTAAACACATTTTGTTTTCAGTCAAATCAACCGGAAAATTGTTGTGTAACTGATATCCCATTAAAGTTCTGTCAAAATACCTTCATAATGTAAACAACAATCACAAGTAAAGGAAATATATTCTATTCATTCAGCCCCCAACCGGTTTCTATTTATTTTGTTCGGCCCCAGACCAGAATGAGTTTGCCACCTCTGACCTGATCTGTGGGAACGTGTTGGTGGCCGTGTCTTGTCCTGGGTATACCGTGTCTTATCCAATCTGTCTTTGTGAAATGTATGTTACTGCCCTCTGCTGTATATTCTACTATTTGTCACATGGCGCCGGAGAAATGGCTGCTGTGGCAGGAGGTGTGTGCCGTCTTCTCTGTCTGGAGCACATAGGGGTAGTCCTGCACAGTTTTTCCAATGTGGTTTTACTGCAATTGGCAAATAAATTCTTGAATCTTGAATAATGAAGGATTTTTACTTTGAGGTCAGTTGTGCCTCAGACCTTCTTTTTTTCCATTTTGGACCAGTGTTTGGGTTGTAACGGCGTGGATTGTACAGTGTTTGGGTTGTAACGGCGTGGATTGTACAGTGTTTGGGTTGTAACGGCGTGGATTGTACAGTGTTTGGGTTGTAACGGCGTGGATTGTACAGTGTTTGGGTTGTAACGGCGTGGATTGTACAGTGTTTGGGTTGTAACGGCGTGGATTGTACAGTGTTTGGGTTGTAACGGCGTGGATTGTACAGTGTTTGGGTTGTAACGGCGTGGATTGTACAGTGTTTGGGTTGTAACGGCGTGGATTGTACAGTGTTTGGGTTGTAACGGCGTGGATTGTACAGTGTTTGGGTTGTAACGGCGTGGATTGTACAGTGTTTGGGTTGTAACGGCGTGGATTGTACAGTGTTTGGGTTGTAACGGCGTGGATTGTACAGTGTTTGGGTTGTAACGGCGTGGTCGGCGGTGTGTGTTGCAGCTGGAGATGTTCTGTGAGGTGATGACCATGCAGCAGGCGGGCTACGTGATGCTGATGGACTATCTGCAGAACAACTACAGAGACCAGCAGGAGCAGTTCATGGGACAGGTCTTCTCCTCCTACACGGGCTCCGAGGAGGTCTACACCCCAGGCAAGTCCTCTGTCCGTCACTGTTGACCTGCTCTACACTGCTCTACTCTATTCCACTCTACTCTACTTTACCCCACATTCTTCTCTATTCTATTCTACTCTGCCTGACCCTAGTCTAACTTTATCATAATCAGCAAGTGAGTTAGAATACTGTATATTCTTGTACAATAAATATACAGTTGTATGTTTACATCTGTACGTGTTAGCAGCATGAGGGTATGAGACAAAGTGAAAGTAAAGACACCTGAGGTTCTATATTGCACATTCTCACATTATTCAAATGATTATTTCACAGATAAGTAATGTAAAGTGACACATGTGGTTTCATATTGGACATGAGTTGAAATTATTGTGGTGAGGTCGACACGCACGTATACCTCTTTTTAAAGCGGTATAACTATAAAGAACTCCTGGACAAGTCTGGTGAAGTGGCCCGCTTATTCAAAAGTTTGGGCACCCCGTACTAAACACAAGCGAGACTACTGAATTGACCTGCTTAAAATCGTAGCTGAAAACTAATTAGAGTGTAAATCTACAAGTGGGTCGCGCAAATGACGTTCAAGTGGCCGCAGGGCGATGGTATCTGCCGCACTGCTCCGGAAACACGCACACGTCGATCGTCACTGGTTTGAACTGGTACCAATCAATTATCAGATCAATTATTACAAAAGTGGCACAAATCACAGCATAGATTCTTTTAGAAGTGTGGGTTAGTGCGATTCAAATTAAAAACGTGTATATTTCACTTAATTGTGTATAAAGCTGGTTGTGCTAATGGTGTGTGGCTCTGGTCTGCCCTCTGGTGGTAAATCTATGAATTCCATCCATCCATCCATTTTCTTCCCCTTAATCCATTTCTGGGTCGGGGGGGGGGGGGGGGGGGGGGGGGGGGGTCAGAGCAGTCAGAGCTGCACCCAATTCACTTAGCACCAGCCCCTCACTGATCCTCCTGCAGGTGGTGAGTCCACAGGAGCTGAGATCTTTCAGTGGGAGCTTCAGGCAAAGTGGGGTTAAGTGTCTTGCACAACGACAGCAGTCATCAGTGGGAGTCGTGAAGTAGGTCTTATGGTGGGCTTGAACCCACGACCTTCAGGCCCAAAGGCCAATGCTCTACCAACTGAGCTACTGTCGCCCCCAAATCTATGAATTGTTGCGTAATATCAGTTTTGTAATTGACATCTATCATGGTTTAAATTCATCCTGCAGTTCTTAAACAAAATTAGTTAGAATGTAATGTCATGTCATGTATTGCCCCATCCATCCACTTTCTTCCCCTTGATCCCTGCCTGGAATCATCTTTCAAGCCACATAATTAACTCAAACCGTAAAACATCTATTGAAAGTTGTTCTAAAAATAAATCTTGTCATAAATTAGTGTTGTATAAGAATGAAATATCACAATGTAATCCATAATTACAGACTCTAATATATTGTTAGATACATCTCCAGCTAACACAGATCAAAATAAATACAAATACTATTAACACTAGAACTTCCACAGCAGTCAATTTTACGTCTTTTTTCTCTGGAAGTGTTTATACTCCACGTTTGTACATTTTGGGTCTTCAAAACTGTAGCTTTTTCTGTTCCTACATTTCTACAGTTTATAGCCATATGAAATGATGTTATAAATCCTAAACTGGTCCTTTCAGATTCAGATTCAGTTTAATTTCCATTTGCAGTAAAAGAACCACATTGGAATACATTAGCAAAAAGTCTCCAGTGTGCACAGACAAATACAGACATAAAACAACATTAAAAGACAAATATAAAACAAATAAAACAGTAAACAAATGTCCTTGACCGGTTCAGAGCAATCTCAACTTGGAGCAACTAGTTACCATAGCATCTGTTTTTCATTTATGTTTAGCATATACTAAAGAAAACTATTTTAATTCATTAAGCATAATAAATGCAGAGAAAAATGTAAAACCTTTTGGTGGGATTTTCTTCAGAATTCCATTGATTTGAATGGGAGCTTTCAAAATGACTGCTCTGGGAGTTTGAGTAGTGTCATAAATCTGAGTCTACAAACAGCAGAGATTAATTTACTTCTCCCACAAAGTCTGTCCGTAAAACAGTGAACAGAACAAAGATACCGGCGTTTATTTAACAGTAACACAGTGAAGACTGGCTGGCGTTTTTGTTGTATAATTCTGCCCTCTAGTGGTAGCTTTTTGCACGACAGTTCCACAAGTGTGCACCTGTTGATTCATTCGCTTCAACTTCGACAAGCACTAAAGCTTTTAAGTATAAATGTGATTATTATACAAAATTATAAACAGTTCATGTGCTGTTTGATTTTGTCTTCAGTATTGTGAATTGGGTTCTGTAATCCATGATATTTGATAACATTCAATGCTATTATTAAAAAAGATTATTTTGTTAAAAAATCAGTGTAGTATGATGACGCACATCTTTCCTAAATAATGTTTTGTATAATTTTGATGGATTACCTCATTATTATTGCTTCACGTTGGCTTAATATATCAATCAATTGTTTTTATAGAGCCCTTTACAACACTCAAGGCGACCAAAGTGCTTCACAATAAAAGGACATAAAACCCATTCAAACATTTATGCATTCAAACAATAAAACAGTCAAAAAGCACAGTCAAAAATAAGTGTCACTGTGCTAATGAGTGATAAAAGTGATAAAAGTGTTAAAAGCCAGTCTGAATAAATAAGTTTTGAGCGTCAATTTAAAAAGGCCAAAATCAGTGAGGACAGGCATGTCAGGGGCAGCTTGTTCCAGAGTCTGTTAGGTAAAGTTAGGTACCCCAGCTTTAATCCTTTAATAGTTTGCTGAACCGTTTTTTTTGGGGGGGGGGAATTTTAATTAATTAGAAGGTATTTTAATAGTTACAGTCTATGGTATGGTTTTACCTGGCAGTAGGAACGTAAGGATGGAGCATTCTTGTTCAGCCAGATTTCAGCAGCTGCCGGTCATTTTTCCACAACTGAACTTTCTGCATTCTTGGTTATTGAAAAAGCATGGACCAAACTGATAAAACACTGGCGCAAAATTCCCTCAACTATTACAAACTACAAGGTGGGACACGGTGAAGTCTCGCAGGCAGAGATCAGTACAGTCCAGATGCTTTTCACGAGTTCAAAAAAATAATTAAAAAATAAATCAAGTTTTGAGTCACAATCACAATTCTTTGTTAGAAGCCTGTAACTGAAAAACTAGGGGGTCCCAACAAAAATTGGTTTTGTTATTAATGCTCCCAAAACCAGAAATTCCCAAAAAAAGAAAAAAATTGCTTTCTTCAAGGAGTGAACATGAAAGGGTTAAGTAATTTTTTCCCCTCCTGTTGTGTGCAGTGTGCAGCTCTGAGCCGGAGAACGTCCAGAGCATGCCGTACAACCTGAGCAGTCTGCTGGTGATGTGGGAGAGGCCGCGCGCCGTCTACGAGGCCGGCATCGAGAAGTACTCCGTCACCTACTGGCCCACCAACACAGACTACCCCACCGCCACCGAGTACCTCACCGACGGAGACCAGGACGTGGTGAGGAAAAGCGCATCACATATGTACTTTGGACCATTATACTTTGGACACTTTCTATACAGCAACCTGGATTATGAAAAGTTTTATTCAATTAATTTATTCAGTCTGACGATTTAAGGAGCTATACCCGTTTCTGCAAGGTTTGAATGTTTAGCACCGCCCCCCAACTCGCTCACAGGCTTCTCATTTCCCCTACGCTCTCATAACACGGAGCCATCTAGTTTTATTTGCGCTCTATATGCTAACATTAGCATGAGCGCAACTTCTTGTAAGCTGTACAACAATCGCTGATGAAATGGTACAAAAGCAACGCACTGCTAACAAAATATATAACTGAAAGATTATCGCTAGTTCAAGTCCGAGCATAGATAGTCCGAGCATAGATAGTCCGAGCATAGATAGTCCGAGGCGGTCCCGCAGGTCTCTCCCATAGACAAGTCTCTCCGGAGGATACAATGTAAGCTAGCTATGTTCACCCGGGCTTGATTTCTTCTTTGATATATCTTATAGTCAATTTGGCTAATATGCTACTCTGTTTAGCAGCGCTGTAGAGGCTAGAGGACGCAGCCTCGTAATTGGAGGAGAATGAGCCTCTACTCAGCACTTTTTACGGCCTGAATTCATACACAGCAAATACAAATAAAACAGGTTTAGCATCTTTAAAGGACCCATGAGTGCGGGCCCTTTAATCGTCAGTATGTTGATGAATTGTATTGTATTCTGTGTGTTATTCTGTGTTAAAATGGGTGACGGGGGGTACGAGTTTATACGTTTGAAATCCATCCAACCAAATACATTTTATAATCTTACTTTTCTTCTAATACACTTGTGTGTACAGGGCGCCATCTTGGACAACATGGTCTCCAACACGAGCTACATGATCCAGGTGGTGGCGGTGTGCACCAACGGTCAGTACGGGCGCATGAGTGACCCGCTGAAGGCCGACATGCCCTTCGAGGCCCCGGGTAAGCCCCGCCCACGCCCCGCCCACAGAGGCACAGGTTAAGAGGACTAGAGGAGAGAGAAACGAGAACGATTCCAAAGACTATATCATATTTGTGAATGTGAATGTCGGCAAGTTTGCATTGAGTTAAAATTTCAAGTCACAAAAAAGGGAAATATGTAATAACATCTCACTCGGTCCTCACTCCTAAAACAGTTTTGTTCAGCTCTCAGCCCAGTATGTCAAATAGTGACTCCCAGGGCATTTATGCATAGTGTAACTTGTTTTATAATGTCTTTTACAAGACTCTTTCTGTTGGGACAAACAGTCATATGTTATTAATGGGAACCCCAGCTTTAAGCTCATGATCCTGCACAATTCCCCAAACTCTGAATTTCTCTCCAAATAAAGACAGATTAGTCTCACTTGACTGGTGTTTGTTATGGCTATACCAATAATAATTTGACCGCAATTTACTACAGGCATTCTCTTTAACATAATTCTTCTAAAGGAGCTATACTCGTTTCTGCAAGGTTTTTTTTTTCAATTTGAATGGTTAGCACCGCTTCCCGACACGCTCACAGGCTTCTCATTTTCCCTACGCTCTCCTCCCACAAAGATACATATGCAAACTCATTAGATAATATATGGAGTATAGCTTCTTTTAAGTATGAAAATCCAGTGAACAAAGGTTCTCACTGTAAAGAATTGTATTAAAGCTGGAGTACCCAACTTTGGTGTTGGTCCCAATCATATAGACTGTACATAGATGGACAATGCTAAAGCTCAATGAAGCCCAATAGAGAAGTGCTCATGGACGTTTCGCTCTGGCTTCTATTGACTTATTTTGAAAAGTAAACTCCTCGATCTCAGTAACTGTTTGCATCATACTCACTATTTTGGGCTGAAAAATCTGTGTTTTAGCCTTCTCTGTGACCCTGGTGATTATAGTTTGATATTGTCTTTTTAAATCCAGATTTGATCCTAGCAACCGTTTTAGCAACATGTCTGCCCCTGCAATGGCGCAAAGCTAGCAGCATCGGGACAAATGCCTAAAGAAAAGTGGCTCCAGCTAGCTTATGTGCAAATCTGCTTCCGCATTAAGGCTAGTACTATGGTGACTGGATATATAAAGACAATATCAAAACATAAAATCAGGATCATAGAGAACGCTGAAAAAAACTGTCTAGGGTCTTCCCCGTCTTCATCATCTCTCTCCACTTAGGACCATAATTGTATGCACTTTTCTCACTGTCCAACATGTGTCTGTGTTTCTATATTACAAGCTGCCATTTTCATCTTGTCACGTTCCCCTTTTGTCACTGTTAAACTTGCATTTGTGGAGTTTCTGTGCATTATATTAATATACTGTAGCCATAATAATAAATAAGTGTCATTCCATCGTCATGCTGTTCCTTCCTTCTTTAGCCTTAGAAAGATAACCATCTGGCCTGCATGACATCGTAGTTTGATTCACGTTCTGTCCTTTTTGTAAGCGTATTCATCACTGTTTGTACAATTGTTTTGAATAAACATTATTTGGAATTGTATATGAAGTATACTCTTAATGAAAGTGAAAAATCTCCATTAATCACACTTTGTCATTCTCTCATAAAGGAGACATAACCTGTAAATTCTAACTCTTCTCTCTTTGATCCATGTTCCAACATTGTTCCTCATCCGTCACAGACCTGAAGTTGTTTTTAGACCAATCCATGCTATTATCAGGAACTTCTGGAACGGGCAAACATGTAACTCTGCCCCTTTCCTTCTATATTCTTCTCCCTCAGCCCTGTAATAGTATGATGTCATTGTCTCACTATGACATCACACTTGCATCACAACCGTATAAATCAAAAGTATTGTCCACCAATTAGTTTTGGTGAATTCTCAGCTGTGTCTGCAGACGGTAATCTTCCAATTGTGAAGAAAAACAAACAAACTACTCCTCCCTCTGGTGGTAGCATTGGGACATACAGGCGGAATGCATCTTTTACCGTCTCTCTTTTTATTTAGTCTCTCTCTGGGGTCTTTCTCTCTCTGGTCTCCCCCTGGTGTCTCTCTCTTGTCTCTCTCTCTTGTCTCTCTCTCTGGTCTATCTCTCTGGTCTCTCTTTGGTCTCTCTCTGTCTGGTCTTTCTTTGTCTTTGGTCTCTCTCTGGTCTTTCTATGTCGTCTCTGTCTGGTCTCTTTCGTTTCTCTTTCTGGTCTCTCTCTGGTCTTCTATTCTAAAATATTCTAAAACATGAAACAAAAAAGTAAATAGTGTCATTATACATTTCTTAGTTGTCAGAAATAATCATAACATTTGTCCTTTAATATCATTTCATTTTGATTACTTTATTCAATTCTCACAAAACCTCGCCTCATGCTTCATACCCCTCTCCATTACTGAGCTCCAGGTAAGAGCGCCATCTGCTGGTCATGTCACCCCAGACACCTGTGTGCTGTCAGTCCATGCATTTGCAAATAACCGGCTCCGATGCAAAATATCTTGGTTTGGAAATTTGACGACTTTAAACGAGTAATTGCAAATGCTATTTTTAGGATGGTTTGAAAATTCCATGCATGAAAATCTGCCTTTTTTTGCATGTGAGTGTTTTGCTGTAACATAGAAATTCCGAATCAGGCTGTAGAACAAATATCCCTCGTTTTTTAACATAACTTTTGCCAATTTGTTTTTTCCTTGTGTGTTTTATCCAATTAAATTTGACTCAAGATATTACATTTTTTGACACTTTTTGCTCATTTTGTTTTGTTTTTCCTTTATTTCAGAGGATTCACTCATATCCAATTCCAATGACTTTGATGAAGATGTAAGTAAAGTTAATAATAATGTATGTATATCACACTCCTGTATTACTTTTAACACTATTTTTGCCCCAACACAGGACTATGGCCCTGATTCTTCCTGGAACGAATCGGTCGAAAAGGAGGATTACGGAATTGCTCTAATTCCCACAAAATCTACAAGCACGACAACCACAGAATTTCCGCGATTGCCTCCACCGGGATTCAAATCTACAACCGCAGAGCCGAGTTGGAGAAGTACCACCACGGCAGGCAAATCTACTCATTCTATTCAGAGCTCCTCCAAAGAGAGACACCACAGTACCACCACACGACCACCAGAGGGCACTGTGGCATCAAAACACAGAGGGAGACTGCATTTGAACGTACCTGTACACACCACTACTGGAAGAAGTCACACCAGCACAAGGCGGTACCCTACCAGCACAAAACCAGATACTAGCCTTCATATCCCTAAGCATGGTACTGACAAAAATAAAAGCGTTTTTAGTACTACAACGACGGCACCATTGAGTTTTACCAGTTCAAAGACAAAAACTGGAAATGACTTATTACCGCCAAGTTCCAACAGGACTTATAATGGTCTAATTACCACAACTTCCAGGCCGAGATCAAAAGACGGGTTATCATTAAAGACGTCTACTGCTCCAGAGACAGTCGAATCTAACTGGAAGAACACTGGCAAAACAACTAGCAAGAGGATGACCACGACCAGCTCTCCGTTTGTCAAGGCTTCCAGTGAGCGACGGCCGTACCATCCTGCCAGAGACGGACCCAAACGTAACGCAAGTATGTTCACGACAACGGAAGCCCCTCCTGTCTTCCAACAAGAAAACGCCTCGACCCCTGTCACTCCCTTCTCCCAAGAAAACGCCACAACTCCTATTATACCCTTTTCCCAGGAAAATGCCACTACCCCTATTGTCTCCTTCTCCCAAGAAAACGCCACTACCCCTATTTCACCCTACTCTCCAGAAAACACCACTACCCTTAACATCTCTTCAGCCCAAGTCCCCTCTATCCAACCCACACCTTCTAGTCCCAGTACGTCTTCCTCCACGACTCCCTTTGGCACGTTCACAGACCCACAGACTTCTCTTCCAAACGGTGAGACTTATTCCGTCCCGTCCCCTGCCTCTGCCTCCTGTCTCGGCGCTTGCCTGCATGACCCCGCTGCTACTGTCGTTGCACCCTCCCTCTCTTCTCCCTCTGCTTCTTGGACCGTTTTGTCATCCTCTTTCTCGGATTCGAGGCCCGCCTTGCGCCCGAGCCAAGAACCAGCTCAAGCTTCCGCCCCTGCCAGCTCCTTGCCCCATCCCGCTTACCCCTTTATGCCGCATTCAGTAAACGATGTTGATGTTTCTAATTCTATGGGTGACCAATCGGTATTCAGTCGTACTCCTCCTTTACGGGATGCTTCTGACGCTATTGAACCATCTGAATCCAATTGGGTGTTTTCTATGGTTTCTATCAGCCCTACTTTGCAGCCTTCTGTCCTCTTGACAAGTGATTTTTCTCTTTTCGGGAACACTCCCGGTTTGTCTCGTTCACGCGACGACTCGAGATATGCCACGGGAAGTGAGATTGACTCTTTCTTTCGGGAAATCAGTGGTGATTCTGGCACTCCTTCGGTCAGCGACGTAGACGCTTTTTGCACTTGTTCGTTGGAACCTTCTGCGTCTACTTCTTGGTCGCATGCCTCCCCCCATTCCTACCTTCCGTTCTCATCTTGGGATAGCTTACACGTTTACTCCAGCGTTGGTGTTTTAGCGACTCCTGGTGTTGGTCAAAAAAGCTTTATGAATACTGTTTCCATTGGGGGTTCTCTAGAGCAACCTTTAGCCTCGCAAAGCCCTATAATTCCAACAGTATCTTCAAACTTTATCGTTGCAGTGAAAAGTGATTTGCCAATTTCTGTTACAGCTACAAAGTCTGTTCCAATCCAGTCTGTTCCATCGTTTTCAGACAAAGCGACTTCCCAAACACCCACCTCAGCAACCATACCCTTTAGCTCCACGCCAGATGTTACAACTTTAGATACTAGCAGCGCATCCGGGTCTGCAACATTAAACGAAGGCGTAGATCTAGAATGGGACCGAATTCAAACCTCTGCGTCTGGGGAGGAAATTACCAACTTTTCGACTAACTCTAGCATTACTGCACCCCCGACATTGATGCCGTCTTCCGAATCGGGTTCGTCGGACGATTTGGAAGACCACTCATCGGCGTTTTACTTCGAAAGCGGAAGCACTCTCGGATCCCAGGATACAGGGAGCGCCTACAACCCGACCGTTACCATGATGACACCGGTTGATTTTCCTCAAACTCTGAACAGTGGAGATGGAGAAAGCGGGTCAGGGCAAGGGGAGGGCCTGAATGACAACGAGACATCCTCAGACTTCAGCCTGGTAGACCGGAGCGAAAAAGAGGAGGAGCCAGTTGCAGGTAAAAAACAAAAAAATCTCCATCTAATATCATCATCTTCAGTTGAGAAGCCATCACCAAGAGTCTGAGGCCGGTGCACAGACCTGACGACAAACTAATCCAGCCATCTACAAGCATTTCATCACTTCTTTTTTCTATTTTACTTTCGGGGGAAGTTCTTCCACTTTACTTATAACACAATCATTGTTATAACACTAATTTTCTCCAATTAGGGTTTTTACTTTGTGGCTTTTCTTTACTTTTTGTATCAACCTAACCAGTCATTCATACACATGATTTTGACTTGCGTGAATGGTTCTTGATGAATGGTGTACAGTGGTTTCTCAATCTCCGTGGGGGGGTTTTGTTCAAAAAATAACTTGCAATAAACAAAATCCGCAAAGTAGTAGCAATATGTTTCAAGGCTGTAAAATCCCCGCCACACACTTTATATACTTTTCTTACCACATGAACTTACGACGGCTGACGTGCAATCACCGAGATATGAAACCTGTTGTAGGTCTGAGCGCAGTTGTAGGTCTGAGCGCAGTTGTCAAAAGCTGTGCATATACTGTAAAAAAGAAAGAAAAGAAAAAGAGGATTCTGCGGTGAGGGGCAGGAGCAGATCTGAGGGCTGCAGGAAGCATGAGAAGCATGTCAAATAGCACACAAAAATTGGTTATATGTGTTTTAGCAAGGGCCCACTGTATAACACATGATTGTATGGTTCTTAATTTTGTTCATGAATCTATTTTCTATCCACTTTGTTCCACATCAATATAAATTATTTTTATTATTTGAAATATATTAAGACTTTTAACACTCATTCAACACATTCATTGCAGTCTAATTGGAAGTTTTGGTAATTGATTTTTTATGCAAAACTATAAATTATGAAAATGTCGCAGATATATTGTTGGACTTCAAATACATGTTGTTACCATAGATCCTATATCTGTAATGCACTCTGGCACTTCCTGTCATCTCCACAAGAGGGAAGCAGAGACCTGTAGAAACCGTGCTGCCTACTGTCCCCGGTCCATAGTTTAGTTACAATGGACATTCTGTTTCTTGCTTACTCAAATTCAAAGTACTTATTAAATCTAAAATTGGTTTCCATGTATTAATAACTACCTGTATTGTAATTAAGTATTTATTTTTATTGCGCATTTTACAGACCAATGTCACATTTCATAAACACACAGTTTCCAATGTGTTGCTCAATAAAAGACTAAAGCATAGTTAATGAAACAATAGTTACAGATGGTAAAATCACTAAAATCTTAGACACTTCACAGAAGGAGCGTTCCACTGCCCTGGACAAGGGCTTCTCCTGAGTTTAAGATCACGGAGAAGGCCTTAGCCCCTGGGTTTAAGACCATAGAGAAGGCCCTGTCCCCTCAGGTTTCAGACCACAAAGAAGGCCCTGTCCCTTTGTGGGTTTAAGACTACAGAGAAAACCCTATCCCCAGGTTTAAGACCATAGAGAAGGCCTTGACCACTGGGTTTAGGACCACAGAGAAGGCCATGACCACTGGGTTTAGGACCATAGAGAAGGCCTTGACCCCTGGGTTTAAGACCATAGAGAAGGCCTTGACCACTGGGTTTAGGACCACAGAGAAGGCCTTGACCCCTGGGTTTCAGACCATAGAGAAGGCCTTGACCCCTGGGTTTCAGACAATAGAGAAGGCCTTGACCCCTGGGTTTCAGACCATAGAGAAGGCCTTGACCCCTGGGTTTAAGACCATAGAGAAGGCCTTGACCCCTGGGTTTAAGACCATAGAGAAGGCCTTGACCCCTGGGTTTAAGACCACAGAGAAGGTCCTGTTTCCCCCAGTTTTTACTCCCGGCACCACTAGCAGGAGCTGGCCCTGAAACCTCAGCGTGCAGGGATGGTGGCACATTTCAATACGGTCCGAGATGTACGGTGAGGCCAGTCCAGTCAAGACTTTAAAAACAAACATTACAATTTTTAAATCAATTCTAAAATGAGCAGGAATGATGTGCAACAAAGTTTTTCATTTTGATAATTTTATTTCAATGTCATCTTTCTCTGGAGACATATCTTAGGCTTAAAGCTTTGGCAAAGTTTTAAGTGGAACTAACGCGTAAAAAGGAGAAGGTCGTCTGAAAGGAAGCACACACTTTTGGCAGCAGAATTGCGTGGGTCTAAATCAATATGTTCTGGTGTTTGCTTTCACTTTTCAACAGCTTCAAATTGACTTTTGATTAGTTCAGGCTTGATACACTACTCTGCAGCAGCACTTCAAGACTCGCTGTTGTGTGCACTCACTCATGCAGTAAAAGCAAATTCCTAATCACAAGTTTTCAGTTAAAAGCTTCACTATACATTATGCTAAAACTTATTTACAAGTTAAAGGATGTTTTCCATTGTGCTGACAAAAACAAATGAAGGTTAGGATTTTGTGAGGGAATCCCTAAACCACTATGACACTCACTTTTATGTAAATACCAAACAAATGAAACTTTCTTCATATTCAATTCCATTCCAACAGCTGTTGTTTTGGAGGACTTTACAAAGTTGTAGATTCACCAACAACAGATCAGAGAATCCAGCAGTTCGAACACAGACAGAAATACAATCATACAATCAAGACATTGGAGCCATTGGTCCATAGAGAACAGGATGACCATTGTCCATAACTGTTAGGAATATGTTCTACGTCAGGGTGGATCATTAAGACTATTTGTCTTCCCAATTGTCAATCATTCTGGTGATACGTGCTTGTCAAATAAGACCAGAGAGTTTTGTTCAAAAAGTGGACAGGCAGGTTATTTCCTAAAATTGGGAAAAATCCTCCTATATATCTTTAATAAACATCCATAAATGTTGACAAACGTGCTTAGACCCTCCTGTATTGGCAAAGAACGGGGAAAAAATAAAAACTATTTTGGAAAGGCCCAAATTGAGAGAGAGATCCGCACACAATCCCACAGACAAACCCACAGATCCCACAAACAAACAGAAGATAGATCCATGACTCGGGTTGAAGAAGAACTGAGGAGACTCCCAGGCGGGGACATGTGTGCAGCCCACAAGTCCGGATCGGGATAGACCAGTTCAGAGGCGCAGTTGAAATCGGCCTGTAGGGTTTATAGAATTCTAACGAGACCAAGCAGCACGGGCTGGTGTGTCAAAACAACTCTGCATTTCACCTGCACTCCGTCATAAAGTTGCCCTCATAAAAAATATAGATACATACTTTTCTTCTGACTTTAAATGGCATAACCGTCATGTTATGTCAGCGGTTATATGATGTTGTATATCATGTTTTAGGAGTATACACACGACACACAAAAGAAGCATGCACAAAGATTTGCGAATTAGCGAGGGACTAGTGCAAACAAGATGAGATAGACTTTATTGACCTCACACTGGATAAATTTACAGGTCACATTTGGCCCAGATAGAGTCACTCAGATTGTGCAAAAGACAGAAATGTGCAAAAAACTTTAAAGGTTAAAAAAATAGTCCGTGCAAGATATAATTATGAACGATTTTTTTTTTAAATGGCAATAAAAGAAAGAGTGGCAATAGCAGTGCAGGTTTTTTCAGTCCTAGTGCATTAGTGGCTTAAAGTGACTTATAGTACAGGGATGAAGATAGATAGATACTTTATTGATCCTCGTAATTCAGGTGTCCAGTAGCAGCAAAAATAAGACTGATCTTTCTAAAAAAAATAACAATTGTAATAATCAGCAACAGCCCTTCAGGTCACAGTAGAAGAGGTGGAGTAGCCACTGGGTGGAGCAGAACGGGTCACAGCAGCACAGATGGAGTAGCCTCTGGGTGGAGCAGGACGGGTCACAGCAGCACAGATGGAGTAGCCTCTGGGTGGAGTAGGACGGGTCACAGCAGCAGAGATGGAGTAGCCTCTGGTTGGAGCAGGACGGGTCACAGCAGCAGAAATGGAGTAGCCTTTGGGTGGAGCAGGACAGGTCACAGCAGCAGAGGTGGAGTAGCCTCTGGGTGGAGCAGGACAAGTCACAGCAACAGAGATGGAGTAGCCTCTGGGTGGAGCAGGACGGTCACAGCAGCAGAGACGGAATAGCCTTTGGGTGGAGCAGGACGGGTCATAGCAGCAGAGATGGAGTAGCCGCTGGGTGGAGCAGGACGGGTCACAAGGTGGAGTAGCCAATTGGTTCGGACCATTTTCTCTGCTCTAGTCCAAAGTAAAATGCCAAATTCTTCATTAGCATTTTTAGCATTCCTCCAGTGGATCCGCTTGGTTCGGACCATGAATCCTCTCTGCTCTGATCTGGACCAGTGCAAAACTATGCACACTGTACTGCAGCAACATCTCAGGCAGAAAAAAAGCAAGAAAAATAAAAACCGTAAAACACAAAACTACAACTGTTTCAGAGCTAGTTTGGACTTACAGCCGTTTTCCAGCGCATTCAAAATAACTTTATATAAACAAGTACTATAAACATGTAGCAGACATTATCCAGTAGTTTTCCTCTTTGAGTTGTTATGAATCTAGTGCTCACGAGGTAAAAACTACACATCTCAACCTCCGCTACGTTATTTTAACTTCAGAAACCACTATTCCACGTGGGATTCTCTCTGCGTCTCTCATCACACTGCTTCCTTTCAGGCGACACATAAAGACTTTATATCTGAACGCCGCGGCTGCGATAGAACTCCGGCAGAATCAAAGTGCAGAACGATTCCTTTTTTTTTTTGAGCTAAAAGAGGCTGACCCGGCTATTGAAGAAAAGCTGTTTTTCACAAGCAGCCAGTCAAGGTTAATCTATAGTGTTTTCCATACTGTTTAGAGACCCGAATGAAAGGACAGCTTGAGTAGATCTGGCGAGCTTTCATATCTTCTTCTCATTCAGCATTGAAGCTTGACACTATCTATGTAGAGCGTATTTTCCGCTCCGATCACGTTGACCCTGTACCTGAACCGTGTCGGACTTTTCATTAAGGAGACGGCGATGAAGAGGAGCATGCGGCTATGTTAATATTGGTTTGATAGAAGATGAGAGGAAGTCACTTTACTTATTAGAAGTCATGTTTTGGATAGAATCGATGAGTTGGAATCAATTCACGAGCAGAGTTGGGTCGGGAGCTTCATACAGCTTCTCAAATGCTATTCACTAACGAGCGTCAATTTTCATTCGCTTTCCATTTTGCTCTTGGGACGCCGAGTTTTAAGATAAAATATGACCTGTGGTGCCGTGTGGTTAGCGTTAAAAATGTGTGAGGTTTTTTAAGCTCAAAATGGAAAGTATGATGCAAATGGATACTGAGCTGGAGGAGTTTTCTTTTCAATGTAAGTCAATAGGAGCCAGAGCGAGTTGGAGCAAAACTTCGTCCATGAGCGCTTCCCTATTGGGTTTCATCGAGCTTGGTGTTGTCCATCTGTATACAGTCATGTCGTGGCCATAACTGTATGTGAAAGCCAAATCCTGTCAGACTTTTGAAGCTGAGCAGGGCAGGTCCTGGTCAGTACTGTGATGGGAGACCTCCGGGAACATCAGGTGCCACAGTGGGGCGGCTGCGGCTGAAAAGTGCCAAATTATCGTTGTGTATTTAGAATGAGTCTGGTGTCTGTGAATGATTAGTGGTGGTCGGAAAGGCCGATGGCACATTCTGGTTGCCTCATTCCGTCAGTGTGTCCCAGGGCAGCTGTGGCTACCAGTGTGTATGCAGTGAATGAAAAATGCCGTGTGAAGCGTCTTTCCGTGTCCCTAGAAGCACTAGATAAAACCAATGCCTTATTATTATTACAGTCTATGCCTCAGTAGAAAAATTGCGGCTTACCGTGCGGCAATCACGCTGCTAACACCTCTTTGTTATGAGGCAAGTTGATAACCGTGTGTGGAATGTTTTTCTCAGTTACGGCAGATCCTAAATGAATTGTTTTGGCCCTAGAAACCTTTCCCACAACCAAGCGACAAATCAGCGTTCTAATTGAGAGCGAACTAATGTGTGTCCTGTCAGATGTCATTTCTGTTAAGTCCCTTCGTCACTTGTTTAATTGCAAAGATGCCTTCACAGGACCTGTTATTATGAAATTAGTCTTAGCGCTCGGAGATAATCACAAACTGTTCCTGATCCGGAGCTGTTTTGACATCTCCTGCTGAGGCTAGGGGGGAAAAAGGCTTTATCCGACTTAATTTCACCAGTTACAATGGCGTTTCAGCGTGTTGCAATGAGAACGGACAAAAACAGGTTTGTATCCCGGGTTTTAATTGGAGAGAAAATCCGGTAAATACTCGTGAGGCTCTTGAAAGCAACAACAATCTAATTTCACCTGTTTACATTGTTTCCCAAAATAACTTCAGCCATGTTCTAGCGATTTAAGAA